GCTTATTTTTTGTTTTTCCATTTCTTATTACTGAAGTATAATTTTATGAAGGCAGGGATCATGTTTTATTTACTTCTGTATTCCCAAGTTTGAATAGAGACACAAGGAGAATTGGCAATTACCTAATGATGGCTGAATGTGCCATCCAGTTCTGTGTTTAAAATACTTCTGAGTTGTAGCGTTTTCACTTTTCAGTTCCCAAGACCCAGTTGTTAAAATCTGCTCTAATGATAAAGTACTAGCTTCTCTTTGTTGTTCTGTGAAGTTTACATTATAGAATGGGAAGTTCTCTTGCGTTATGTTATCCAGGTGGAATTAATCTTTGTAATAGTAATTAATGATGGCAGAGTTTAAGGCATTTATATTTACTATGAAAATTTATACTTATAGTGTCACATTATTTGTTATTTACTATTCGTTTTCCCTCTGTCCACCTGTAGCACTGGTCAGATTTTTCTAATCCTTTCTTTCCCCTTTGATTGTTTAAAGGTTATTGTTAAATTTAAACTTAACTGACTTAAATTCTGAAGATAATTATTCTCTCCTTTAATTCATGAACAATGAAATCAATTTTAGACTGCTCTCGCCTCATCCCCCTGTCCCATTTTCAGAGTTTTGTAATTGCTTAATTTAGTTCTGCCTCCTTTCCCTCCTATACCCCATGACGTTTGATATGATACTAATTTGGCTGTTTAATCAGTTATGTTAGAGTTACAGGTTTCTAATACTGAATCATCCTTGCATTCTGATTGTATTTACAAGTATTTTACTTAGGTTTTTTTTTCTCTATCTCTTGTTTCTAACAGTATTTGATAGGATCTGGACTGAAAAATTTATTTATTTATTTATTTATTTGTTTTGCTAAAAGGTGTGTGCACTCACTGGAGAGATGAGACAGACAGAGGAACAGAAAGCAAGAAATCACCCCCTGGGAAAACGGCCCTGCTGCAGTCCCTTTTCCGTTCTCCCCTTGGGATTTTGGGCATGCACACTCATGCATCCAGTGTGAATTTTAAGCTGCTGGGTCCAGGACTCTAACTTTGGTCAACTACGTGGGAGTCCAGCAATATTACCTTTACATCATCTGCTGGTCCATATTTCTTTTAATTTTTAATTTTATTGGTTGTGGATGACTAACAGAATATAGTAAATCACTTGTAAAAGCCATTTAGGGGACCAGCAGCTGGCCTAATGGTTATGTCACTGAACTCCCACATGTCCTACTGCAGTTTCAGTTCCAGACCATGCATATGCATGCATGCCCAAAATCCTGAGAGGAGGATGGAGGAGAAGGGATTGCAGCATGGCCATCCCCTGGTGGGTGATTTCTCACTTTCTGTCTTTCTGTCTCTGTCTCTCTAGCAAGTAAGTGCACCTGCCCTATAGCAAAAATCTCTCTCCAAACAAAACAAAAACAAAAACAAAAGCATTTGGATTTTGATGAACTTTTAGCATATTCTTTACCTCCTCTATGATTTAGATTGGTTACCTTCCTTTTTAGAATATGATTTCAGTAGATTTTCTATTTTAAAAAAAGGCTCTTGTTCTAACTGCAGTGATTCAGGTGGTGGGATGCTGTGAGATACTGGAACCAAATGGGAGGCCCAGGTTCAGACTCTGGGTTGATCCGAACACACTGGGTGCACCTATACATGCCTGTGATCTTGGCTGACTGGAAGACTAGTTGGGAGGGGAGGGAGGTTGTGTTATGGCAAGACTCTGTCAAGTATACACCTTTCCATCTGTCTCTCTCAATATATGAACTTAGAAAATCCTTTGCTTTGGGCCAGCCTATGGACTGGTGATTATGTGGGTGGATTCTACATGGTCAACTGTGTGTTTCAAGTCCCAGACTCGGTGGCTTGAAAACACACTGATTGCATGTGCATGCATATGCCTAAAATCTCGAAGGGAGGGAGAAATGGAGAAAGCATTGAAGTGTGACTATTTCCTAGGGGGAGGGATGCTTTCCCCCTCTCTTTCTGTCTCTGTCTCTCCAGTGAGTGTATATGTCCTCTGGCAAATTAAAAAAAATTAATTTTTTTTTCAATTTTTTTTTTTAGAGAGATATTTTGCTATGGGACACAGAAAGACAGAGAACAAGAAATCACCCCCCTCAGGGGGGGCATGGCAGCACTGCAATCCCTTCTCCTCCATTGTCCTCTTGGGATTTTCGGTACACCCACACACTTGTGCTCACACATGCCCAGCAAGAGTTTCAAGCCCATGGGTCTGGGACTCAAAAAACGGTCAGCCATGTGGGAGTCCAGCAAGTAACTATTATGCCATCTGGTGGTCCCTTTATAGAGGTTTTTTGCCTTAGGGCACATGTGCTTGTTAGAGAGAGAGAGATAGTGAGAGGGAAAGTGAGAAATCACGCCCCTGGCGGGGGAGGGTGATGGCCATGCCACAACCCTTTCTTCATTCTTCTTCTGGGATCTTGGGCACCCACACATACAGGCCCAGCATGAGTTTCAAGCCACTAGTCCAGGACTGGAATCTAGGTTGGCCATGTGGGATTCCAGTGACATAACTGCTATGCCATTTGCTGACCCTTTAATTTTTTTTTTTTGTTGTTGCCGGGGTGGGGTGTGTGTGTGAGTTTGTCAGAGAGAAAGCACACCCTACTGGAGTGGTCATACTACAGTCCTTTTCCCTTTATGGTTTAGGCTCATCAGAATTTGGGGGATGTACACACATGCATGTTTTTTTTATAAGCCTTTGGGGCTGAGATTCAAACCATGGTCAGCGGTGTGGGATCTAGCTCCCTATACATAGGACAGTCTTTTTTATTTATTTATTTATTTTGGAGAGATTTTTGCTATAGGGCACATGCGCTCGCCAGAAAGGCAGAAACAGAGAGACAGAAAGTGAGAAATCACACCCCAGGGGGATGGCCACACCACAATCCCTTCTCCTCCATTCTCCTCTCAGGATCTTGGGCATGCACACCCATGCACCCAGCGTGAATTTAAGCCACCGGGTCCAGGACTCGAACCACTGTCAACTACATGGGAGTCCAGTGACAAAGCCATTACGCTAACTGCTGGTCTCCTGCATAGGACAGTCTCGCACTTTGGGACTAGCCCTGTGTTTTTCTTTTTCTTTTTTTCTTTAAAGAATTATTTATTTAACTTTATTCATTAATTTATTTAAATTGACCAGAGAGACACAGACACACACACATACACACACACACAGCATGTGAGAAAGCAAGTCACCAAGTCCAGGACTCGAACTGTGGTCAGCCATCTGGGAGTGTCCAGTGCCTTAACCACCATGCCACCCTGTGTTTTTTCTTTTTAAGTAGTGAGATAAAGTTCTGAGTTATTTGATTATTGCTTTCTCAATTTCTACGTTTTAAAAATATGTAATACCTGTTTAAATGTTTTTTTCTTTCTTTCTCTTTTTTGTTTGTTTGCTATAGAGTGCATGCACTTGCCAGAGAGAGAGGGGAAGAGAAAGTGATAAATCACCCGTGGGGAGGATGGCCAAACCACAATTTCTTCTCTTCCATTTTATTTTCAAGATTCTGGACACACATAAACATGTATTCACCGTGTATTTCAAGCCACCTGGTCCAGACATGAACTGCACAATTGGCCACATGGGATCCAGCTGCCTTAACCACCACTCTCCATCTGCTGGCCCTAATTTCTTTTTAAAGAAGTTTATTTCTGTCCCTTATTTAGGATACTTAGAAAAACAAACAAACAAACAAACAAAAAACAAAAAAAACTTTAAAGACATTAGGCATTTTTGTTTATTTGTTTTTTAAAAATACATTGACTCAAAGAATCTCACCTTACCATGACTCTTAACCTTTTCTTAGGTGTATATAAATTATATTTTATTATACTTATAAGGTGGACAAGTTTAGATCTTTCTTAATATTTAAGATTTTGGAGACCAGCAATTGGCGTAATAGCTATGTCATGGACTCCCATGTAGTTGACAGCGATTCGAGTCCCAGACCCAGTGGCTTAAACTTAACGCTGAGCGTGCATGCATGTGTGCCTAAGATCCCGGAGGAGAAGGGATTCAGCATGGCCATCCCCCCTGGGGGCGGGTGGTTTCTTGCTTTCTGTCTGTCTGTCTGTCTGTCTCTCTCTCTGTCTGACTAGTGTACATGTCCTATAGCAAAAACCTCTCAAAAAAAAAAAAAAAACCGTACATATGTCTGGTATCACTTAGCGATTTCTTTATATGTTGAAGTATAACTTTATGTGAACTTTGTAAAAGAACCCATTAGGTAGTTAAAGGCCCTGCTGCAGGCTGAGGGAATGATCACAAGTACAGCTAAAAGATGACAAAGCCCAGAATGAGAGGGACTTAAAGAAGTGAGTTATGGGGAGCCAGCAGGTGGTATAGTGGTTAAGGTGCTGGACTCCCACATAGCTGGCCGTGGTTCGAGTCTCAGACCTGGAGGCTTCACTTAGGTGCGCGCTTATGTGCCCAAAATCCCAGAAGGAGAAGGGATTGCCACACGGCAGTGCCCCCTAGGGGGTGATTTTTTGCATTCTTTCTATCTCTCTAGTGAGTACATATGCCCTATAGCACCAAAAAATAAAAATAAAAAAGTGAGTTATGGGCCAGCCCCGTGGCCTGGTGGTTAAGGGAGGTGGATTCCACATGGCTGACCGTATGGCTCAAGCCCCCATGCATGTGGCTTGAAAAACATCCCTAGTACAGGAATCGGGTGCCCCAAATCCTGACTGGATGAGAAATGGAGGAGAAGTGATTGTAGTAACTACACATCGCTAAGGAGTGCTTTCTCCCTCTTGTTCTCTGTCTGTCTCTCTCTGGCAATTCCCCCTGGCAACAAACAAACAAACAAAACAAACAAAAAACACAAAACAACAACCACCCAAAAACAAAAACAAAAGAGCAACGAGTTATGACACAGATCACATTTAGGGTATAAGGAAGGGCTGAATTTAAGGGAGAAAAATGTTTATAAAATCTTATGTTTACTGCTTGATATTATAAAATGTTGGAACATGCCTACATTGCTTTACTTTGTATACCTTCAGATTGTCCATTATGTTGAGTATAAATCTAAGCCTGAGAATTTATCACCTAACTGTTTCTATTTCTTTCTTTGTAGGCCTCGAAGTAGAGGAAAAACTACAGTGGAAGATGAGGACAGCATGGATGGATTGGAGACAACGGAAACAGAAAATATTGTGGAAACAGGTATCAGAGCTTAGTTTCCAAATCATACGTCATAATTGTACTTGTTTATACACCACATTTAGCAGTCATATAGCAATATGTAGTGTATTACCATTTGTCTATGTACTAAACTCTAATTTCCATTTGCCTAAATGATTCAGTAACGGATGACAAAGTTAAAAAAAAAATCCTGAGTTCTTTCTTCATTTCAGTTCTCATTAGTAGGAATTATTTTTTAATCTGTGGGTAAATGCTTAATCAAAACAAAATTACAACTAGAAAAAACAGTAATCCCAGCCCAGGAAAATGATAGCTCACACTACATTCCTGGCTTACGAACCATCCAGTGTTTGTTGAAAGGTTATTTTGTTAATATTTGTGCTGAGGAAAAAAAATACATTCTATTAGCAAATAATTTTGTGAAATGATGAATTAAACTAGACCTAACGGTTTCTGATCTGCTGGACTTTCAGGTGTCTTAAATAAGCTAATTTGTATTGCACATCTGCAAAAGGGAGATAGAATAGGTTTCTCAAAGTAGTTGCAAAATTTACTGAGAGTTAGTGATGTAGTGAGTTGTCAAAAGGACTGGGTTTCATACGGTATTAAAGGATGTCTGCGTGAGATGCTCCCTCATGGGCATGTCCTCAGCGGCTGTTAGCGTGTACACGTTGTGACTGGCTTTCTTTCTGAGGGTGACTATCATCTTGATGCTTATAAAATGTCATACATTTTTTTAGAGAAAAGTTAAAAATTGTGCATCTTTTAAAATACAGTTTCCGAGAAAATGTTTGTGGTTGTCATATGTGTTGATTGTTACATAGTTGTGTAGTTCTTGGAAAGCCTTCACATAGTCTACAATTCACAGCTTCCTTTCCAATAGAATCTTGTTACTTGGACTTACAGAGAAAAGCTTGGAAGTTCAGAATTCTAAATTTCACCCTTTTAAATTTGAATCCATACAAATTCCATTAGTTCTTTTATATGTCTTTTAAAAATACTGTATACTGTTACTAGTAAAATTTTTTTGAAGTTTTATGTGTATTTTTTTAACCTAAGATTATGTAAGCTTCATGAGGTCAGAGGGTTTGTTTTGTTTACTGATTTATCCCCAGCCCTTTAAATATGTTGAGTACATATGAGAAGACTTCAGAAAATTCATGGAACATGTAATTAAAGTACAAGTTAATTTTGATGCACAAAAAAATGAAATTCATCATAGTTTGTTTTCTCCAAAAGGGGAATTTTACTGATTACTTTATACCCTCGCAAAAAGACCAACTGTAATTAAATGAGGTGAACGTTCACCTCAAGATTTTGTCGTCTTTACAAGAAAAAAGATGAGGTTTAGAACTGATCACTTGACCCTTTTTCTTCCTATCTCCTTCTAGTTCAAAATGCTCCCATCTCTTACTAGCCAGCATTCTCTTAGATCTGCAGTTGGGCTCAACACATTCAAGCCTCAGCACAATCTTTGTAGTTTTTGCCCTTTTCCGGAAAATAGGCTTAGTCTGTCCACTGTAGCCACTCTGCTTCCTGTCATAATGCCTCTGTCCCTGAGCACACAGAGAATCCTTGCCCTTTTTGTACTGTGACACTTTATGAGGGTAGTGCTTGCCACACTTCTTATAGAAGGTCCAGCGGGTTTTAGGGACTTCACCATGCTTGTGGGCCTGCTGTCTGCACAGAAAAAGCTCCGTCATGGTTTTTAATTATACACATTTCCTATGAACTTTCCAAAGACCTTGTAGTAGGCATTCAGTTCACTCATTGAGGCAGCAGTACACTCTCACATTTTTCATTTTATATTTTCTAAGCTACCTACTATTATTGGAACATCACCAGAAAACTAACTTTCTCACATTACTTTTCATTTTTTTCCTTACCTGAATAATAGGAAGTTCTACAAAGCGACTGTCTTTTCCTGCTCTTTCCTATGAGAGGTCAAGACAAAATTAAGAGAAATGTCTTAAAGAAAGGAAGATACTTTTTTTTTTTTTTTTTACCCTGGCCTTTTACATGGTTATGGTTAAATAAAACCAAGTGTATTAGTCCTTGCTGTGCCTTTGCCCTTGGAAAGGCTATTGGTTGTCCAGTTCTTGCAGTGAACACATAGGACAGGAAGAGTAGTGGAGGAGAGGAAAAACATGAACCTGCTGGGCCATTGGTGGTGCTGTGGTAGCCAGTGCTCTGTGAGGCCAACCCCTGCGGGAAGGTTCCAGACTCACATCCGGAGACCTCCGTGAGCATGCTGGACACACGAGTGCCCACGGTCTGGGGCTGGACTGTGGCATGAAGACCTGTGGGGGTGCCTGTGTCTCTGACTCTGTCACTCCCTGTCTCTCTTGCTCATGGAAGAAATAAATGAAATAATATTACAAATAAGCAAACCACTAATCTGCAAATAAATACATACAAAGAATAGTTCCACAAATTTCAAGTCAATGTAAAAGCAAGCAAGGACCAGTCTTGTGCTAGGTAGTTGAGGGAGCCAGATCCCACGTGGCCAGCTGCACAGTTCACATCCTGCCCTAGTGGCTTGATAGCATACCAGGCATGCATGTGTGCATGCCCCAAATCCCAATAGGCTGGAGAAATGGAGAAAGATTGCAGTGTGACCACATCCCATTGGGAATGCCTTCTTGCTACCCCACCCCCACTGTCTGTCTTTGTTTGTTTGTTTTTCTGGCAAGTGCATATACCCTCTGGCAATTAGACATAAAAGGCAAGTAACCTTTCTTTGTGGGCCTTAAGACCCAAGCTTTATTGAAAGGTTCTCTTATTTCTATAAATCTTGTGTGTTGAAACATTTAATGATTTGTAGTAATATGAAAATATTGATTAGGACCAGCCACTGTGGCTCATTGGTAACGCTTAGTGTCCTGTGTGCTGGAAGCCACATGGTGACCATGTTTTGGATCCCAGGTTGGCCTGAAAAACATGCCGGGCCATGTGTTGCTGCCAAGGAGATGCTAGAGGGCTGGGGGCAGGGGATTGCGGCATGATGAGACCCTGTTGAGGGTACTCTCTCTCCACCTCTCTCCTCCTCTCACACTCCGGTACACCTGCATATGCTTTCCATCATTTAAAAAAGGGTAGTAATTAAAATGAACATCCTACCATGGTGGGTGAGTGGGAACGAGTAATTTAGGGGTGGCCACTGGGAAAGTTTTAAGAAGTCCTGTTTCTTAAAATACTGCAGTAAGAAAAGCCTGCCTTTCTTTTGGAGGTGGTTACCAGTCTCCGAATTTCTCTATTTGAATAAAATCAGCTTGAATCATGTGTTAGTTACTTTTTTATATTCAGGGCTCTGCAAACTTGTTTTAATTAATTATAATAATTAATTATAATGCAGTTAATTGTAATTAAAATTTTTCTTTTAGTTTTCAAGTTAGCACAGTATAGCTAATGGGAGCCCCTCACCAGATGGCTTTTGAATCCTTTTAAATATTATCTCGGAACTTTTCAGAACTCATTGCTCTTTGGCAAAAAGTACTTTTCAGAGCCATCTTTAATTCTCCCTGCCCTAAGAAATCAGCTACTCTCTTAAGGACTTGGAGTTTAGTGGAAAATAGTATTAGAGACAAAGTCTACACTGTGGGGATGCATATCATGTTGTTTCTGTTGAGAATTAGTTGTGTTAACTCATGTTAGCATTATACTAGTAATTACATAGATGTGAGTGTATGTATACACACATAAACATGAGTTCAGTTTATCTCACACATAATTTTTTAAAATAGACTAATTCATAGAACACTTTCAGGTTCATAGCAGAGTTTCAAGAAAGGTACAGAAAAATTCCATATGCCTGCTACCCCCACATGTATACCTGTCCCATCTCCACTGTCAGTGTCTTTTACCAGAGGAGTACATTTGCTATAGGTTTTGTCCCTGCGTTGACGGCGACACCTTATCACCCAGAGTCCACAGTTTGCAAAAGGGTTAACTCTTGGTTATAAAGTTGTGTGTCCTCTCATACAGAGCGGTTTCACTGCCCTAGAAATCCTCTGGGCCCCACTTATTCATCCCTCCTCTCCCTCAAGTCTGGCAACCACTTTTTTTTTTAAACTATCTTTATAGTTTTGTCTTTTTCAGAATGTCAGATAGTTGGAATCATATAACATGCAGTCTTTTCAGATTGGCTCCTTCCACTTCATAATAGACATTTGTGTTTCTGCTGTGTCTTCTTGTCTTCTTACATATTTTTTCTCCAGAGGTTTTTTGTTTTGTTTTGTTTTGCCTTAGGGCATGTACACTCACTGGAGAGAGAGACACACACACAGAGACTCAGAGACAGAGACAGCTCCTGGGGGTGGGGTGATTTCTCCATTCTCCTTCCGGTATCTTGGGCATGTGTGCATGCATAGGCTCTGGGCATGATTTTCAAGCCATGTCTGGGACTCAAACTGCAGCTGGCCATGTCGGAGTCCAGTGACGTAACCACTATACCATCTGTTGGTTCCTCTTCTCATGTTTTTGCTAGCTACCCCCCTCCTTTTTTTTCCTTTCTTAAAGTGCTGAATATTGCTTCATTGTCTGGATATAACATAGTTTATCCACTTACCCTTCTCCTCCATTCTCCTCTTGGGATCTTGGCCATGCACACACATACACCCGGCGTGAGTTTAAGCCACCGGGTCCGGGACTCAAACCGCCATTTACTACATGGGAGTCAAGCAACATAACCACTATGTCAACTGCTGGTCCCCCCACCATGATTTTGAAGTAGTGGCAAGGAGAAGTGATATTTTGTTATGTCTGTAACAGCCATATGTGCTGAGAAAACCTCTGTGTTCTGTTGGTGACAGGGGCATAGATATTGATAATTCTGTCCTTGTTCACTTACATCTTAATACTTTCTCAGATTTCTAAATTTCAGAGGTCACTAAAAATGAGAGGTTATTATTTTTTTAAAGAATTATTTGTTTAATTTTATTTAGTCATTCAATCATTTTCGTTTGACCAGAAAAAGATAGACACAGAGAGAGAAAGGAAAGTGAGAAAGTAAACCACCAGGT